TGGTATCAGGTTGCCTTGGGACGGCTGTATTTATTCCAGATTGTGGTTGTATGGACCAGATTGCTGGATGTACTGGGAAGGTAAGGACGAATTTCAAGGACGAAATCTAATTCAAGTAGGGGAGAGGTGTAACATCCTATTCCGAATCGATTCCTAGTATGAGGCTGTGGCCCGAAGATCGGTCATCACAAGTATTATGGCTTTTGAAAAGGTAAGATCTAGGTCTATTTGGGTGCGGATGATGTATTAGAAGTGATCCGGGTGTTCGGTTCGTATTTTAGAGCGTAGGGGTATTTCGGTAAAGTGTCAGTTCGGGCTTTTGTGGAAAATGGATTCTTGTTCAGAAGGTCTTAAGAAAGGTTTGAGTTGTTAGAAGAGTAGGGCTTCTCGTTACCTTTCCGTGGATATAAGGATCGTCGGAATCGGGCTTATAACGAAGAAGCTATGGCCTTCGGAAGTTTCGTGGTTTTCAGGCTTAGCCGAGTACACAGGGCGTACACAAAGAGTACGCGAGGTGTACTAGTGAAAAAGGAAGTACGCTGGGCGTACTAACCAGGATGGCCGCGAATGTGCTTCGGAGTACGCTGGGCGTACGCCAGTCAGATCAGAACCCTATTTTAGGGTCTTGGACCCTATTTAAGCTCCTTATCTCATAAACTAACCCTAATATCTTCAGCCTCCACCCTCTAAAACCCTAGAAATCGTCTTCAACCATTCATGGTGGCATTTTGAGCTTATGGAGTCCATTTTTGGAGTGTTTGGCCCATTTTCAAGAAGATGGTGCTTGATGCAAAGATGGGAATCAAGGAGGAGCTTATGGATCTGGCTTTTGGGACTCATTCTTAGCTTGATGAAGGTATAAAGCTTTGAACTTGATCATTCATCTCTTAGATCTACCATTTGCGAGTTTTGTTCATTTTGGTCCCAAGTATGATATCTAGTGGTCTTGATTTCATTCCAGGAGCTTTGAGTTGCCCCTCTTAGTGTTTCTGAGGTTCAAGGTTCATAAAGTTGACACCTTTAGAGTTTAAGACCATCTATGTTGGAGTTTGAGCCATTTCCATGAAAGTAGAATGCTATTTGGTCTTATTGGGAGCATGCAAAGTCACCAAGTCAGTGACTTTATGGGTTTAGGCATTATGTGGGACTCAGATACGTGGTTTGGACTTATGACTTAAAGCATTAAGTGCTTAATGGCAGAAGTGAGGCTAGAGGGTAGTACGATGGGCGTACAAGCCAGTACGTGCAGTGTACAAGCCATTAAGCGAGTACGCGCAACGTACTGCTGAGTACGCCATGCGTACTCAGCCAGGTTGGGTTTCGGACTTTGGGCTTCGGGTTTGGGCCATCTGTTTAGGTCCTAGATTCTTGGGCCCTAATGGACCATCAGAGTGATTGTATTCTGGACTAAATGAAGGATTGGATCTTAGGTTAAGGCCCAATAAGGAGCGTGGGCCCAATTTGGAAAATTGGGCCATTCATGGGCCTTTATGGATTTTATGGTTTTGGACTTTGTGTTTTGGGACCTGTTGGGCCATCAGGTTTTGGGGTTGATATTTATTTGTGGAGGCCCATTATGGTTTTGAGCCCAAATTGGAAAATTGGGCCATGGATTGGGTCTTAGGGAATTTTTTGTAATTGGGCCTCGTGGACTATTAGATTTGGGCCTAATTTGGAAATTGGGCCAGTAAAGGACTTATAGACATTATAGTGTCAGACTTTTGTTTTGGAATTGGGCCTTAGTTTTGGATCATACTGGGCCAGGGGTAGAATGGTCATTTTACCCCATGCATAGATTAAGGATTATGGTATGGGACCCAATTGCTAATTGGGTATATTGATTGATGAAGTGGCAGCTCGGGAAGCTGGCGGGGCAGCAGCTAAGGAATTCATGCGGGAAGCTTCTGCAGCGCGAGATGAGTCTTCTCACCATACCAATGGGTCTAAGGCACCAATGCCGACCCATTTATCTAGTTGTGATGATTGTTGCGAATGTGCTATTGATACATTATGTATTTATGTGAAGACCATGCGGGGGTTCCCATGACTAATAGTTATATATGCAGTATGCTAGTTGATTGTGTGGTATTTGGTATGCTAGTAGTCTTTGTGATACTTGCATGGAAGACCCCGGGGGGTTCCCGAGGCAGTTGGATATAAGACCGTGTGGGGGTTCCCATGGCTTCCCAAGCTAAGACCATGTGGGGGTGCCCATGACAGTGGGCTAAGACCACGTGGGGGTTCCAGTGGCACCCGGTGTAAGACCTTGGAGGGTTTCCAGGGCATCCTTATATGTTTGTATGTTAGCTCATATGTTTGTATGTATAGTTTGCATTATGTTTTGTTTGGGAGGAAGACCTTGTGGGGGTTCCCATGGCAGATAAGACCACGTGGGGGTTCCTGTGGCACTAGGTGTAAGACCCTGGAGGGTTTCCATGGCTTCCTTATATGATTATATGCAAGGCTTATGTGGTAGAGATAACTTTTACAGCTAATATGATATGTGTTATGTGGATTGTGTGTGGGGTATGCTCTGGGGGACTCACTAAGCTTTGTGCTTACGGTTTATAGATTGATCGTAGTGCACACAGCTATGATTTCCGCAATAAATGATTTTGGGATGAACTCTGATAAATGTTTTACTTAACGATGATTTGAAATGTTTGGAATAAATGATATCAATGTTTTAGCGATATTAAAAATGAAATTTTTACCCTTGATTTTTGGGTTGTTATATTTTTGGTAACCCACTTTCCATACCAATTTAAATTTTTTACCGTTTTTTTTCAATTTAAAATGCTAAACTTATTTCTGCAAATTCATACTAACATTGTTTCAGAGTGTCATCGTAAGCATCTTACTATAGTGGTACCATGAAAAAAATATGTTAGTTATAACATTACAAATAACTTTATATATACATGACATTTTGGTAGTTGGATTGGATATTAATGGGATGTGTTAATGATGCTTTCCCAGTGAGGCGATCAAGCGGATGCACAACCGAACCATCATTTGTGGATTTGTTTGTAGCAGTGATTACTCCAAATGAACATCATTTTCTGTTTCATGTAAAGTATTAATTGGTATCAATTTTGTTTTCACTTTACTGTTGAGTCTTGCTTTATTTCTTTTCTGTTAATTGCTAATTGCAGGTGGTTAGAGGTGACAATAATAAAGTTTTGGTGTTATGCTGGTAAGAAACTTCATTTTTGTTACAACTTACAAGAGAAAACACAAACATTCCCCTCTTTCTCTATTAAAAAGAAAGTCAAATCGGTATAAAGAGAAGGGTAAAAAGGTCCAAGGGAAAAAGGCGAAATGAAAAACGGCCAATAAAATCCACCCAGGCAAAGTCGATTTTTGATTTGGGGTGCCACTTGCAATATATTTATTTTTTATTTTATGTATTAATTTGAAATTTAAACTAAAATTGTGCAAGAGAAAATAAAAATAAAGATTAGCATAAAGTCATCAGATTTGTGTAAATGTTTTTTATTTTTAAAGTTGACGGTTGGTTGTTAACAGAAGTGCTGCAAATATAAGTTTGTTCAGAACGACACAGTGGTTTATCAAGCATGTCAGGTTGTTTCCAGTTCATCATCATCTTTCTCTGTCACATGCACTAACACACACACACACAAAACGATAGAAAAGAACGAAGTCATCCTGTGGATAAGTTAGATTGAATTTTGGATGAAAATTAGGTTTGTGTTGTGAAAATGGTATTGAACATGGGAATATAATTAGGGAGATTTTTATAGAACGAAACTTTCATCTGAGAAGTAGGAAGTACCAATTGATTTTGCTATAATTCACTTGGGATTTTTTTTAATATTTTTGGAGGATTAAGAAGACAGAAGTAAGTTACTTAGTTACAGATTAAGATGATCGCATGTTTAATTAATAAATTTAAAATGATCTAATTTGCAATTTTTTTTTAACTAATTCAAATCCTACTTACTGATTTGAGGTTTCAATTTGATAACTTAGTTCACTGTTAGGCAGACGCTAGCAAAAAAATTAAAAACTTAGGAAATTAAGATTATTCTCATGTTTCAATCCAAGTTATCGTAGATGTTATTGAATAAATTATGTTGATGATAGTGTTTTTTTTGCTCCATGAAATTTAAGAATTTAAAATCAATATTTTAATATTTTCTTTTTGAAAATGCTTCTTGAAGATGGATGCAAGATTGGGTTCCTCATCTATATTGCACTGGAAAATTACATCAAAAAAACATTAGTGGGGGATAGTATGATCCTCTCGCATATGATCTCCACATCACCAGCTCTTGATGTACACCAGGAAATCATTCAAAACTTTTGCTAATTTTGTTTTTAAGCGTGTTCCTTCTCAATCTCTATATATATTTTAAAAAAAATTCAAAGACAATTTATTATTTATGCAATTATGTACCTACAATTGAATACGCGACTACATCTAGATCCCTTCCAAGATTGTATCAGGCCTTAAGAGTGGCACACCCAAGTAGATTGTTATTTTTTGCATTTTCATTTTAAAATATCGTAGTCCTTACAATGTAACTCAATAAAATCTTTCTGTTATTTCCAATTCTTTGGCGTTTCCAACCCCCGCAAAGCGGGATTCTTCCCTAATTTTTAAATAAATTAGATCCTTGGTTGCATTGAACCTTGAGTGAGTGGAAATATAGAACAATACCTTACATTCATGATATATAAATAAATTAATCAATACCCTATTTGGCTTCCAAAAACTCTACATTCTTGAATGAATAGTTAATTTATAGGTTCAAATTAGATTGCAACTCGGCTCGTATTGATAATAGAGAATAGTAACTTCTGTTGGTAGCTTGAACTTGAACTTTTGTTGCTAGCGTCTGGTCCATTGATAAATCTTTATATCCGAATTTGGAGTTTTAAGTCCAAAAATATAACAATTATTTTATCTCTTTTAACTTTCTAAAATCTGGTCAACATGAAGCATATAGCTTGTAGTTGTTCTTGTTCCTATGGAATCAAAAGAAAATGCACCCCCTTTGGTTTGTTGGTTTACTTGTACACAAACATCCATAAAGCTTCCACAACCGTTCACCAAAAGGCCATGTCTTCCATCGTTTCACATCAACATGAGGTTTCCTCAAATCAGCAACTGGCGTACTTTGAGAAACCTTATGTTTCTTTGGACCAAATGAACTAGGGACGAAAGTCTTGAGAAGAAAAACTCCAGTATCAAGGCTCACACTCCTTGAAATTTGACTCTTTTTTGTACCTTTTCTCTTTCTCTCCAAATCGAGCTTCATATCAACCCTCTCTTCCATCATCGACACCGAGTTACTCGGATCCTTCAACACTATGTCTTCAAAGGACAACTCATAACATGATTCAGGCAAGGTACTGTTGATCATTTCCATGAGCTCTTTCCTTCCCTCCGTAATGGACTTCGTGGGAGATGATGGACAAGTGTAACTAGAAGGAACATTTTTCGACCAAAGCGGTGATAAAAAACATGAAGGATTTTCATTTCCATCTTGTTTTTGATGATATTTTCCTTCTCGGGTGTCGCAAAATGTAAAATCATTTGGGTTTTTAATGCAATGGAGTTTTGATTGAGAAATCGACATGTTGTGTTACCATGTAGTTCATCAAATGGCAACAGCATGGTAATTTAATTTCGTGTGGTGGTCTGGTGGATACTTATAGAAGATATATTTTAACAGATAACAGACCATATATAGGCAAATAGGTTTAACAATTAACACTTGGAGTAGTTATTTCTGTGAAACAAAACATGTCATTTTTAGCTTACGATATTGAAAGCGAGGTTGCCGACTAAGATGAAAGACAACACAAAGAAGACACGCTACTGCATTTTTTATATTTTTATTTAATCATGTATTTAAGTAAAAGGACGTATATATACTGCTTATTACATCAATTTATGTGGGTATATATATTATATATATATATATATTAATATTATAGATATATATATATATATAGATAATAGTAGGTTACAACCCGTGAAAACTACGGGTAAAAAATTTTATAAAATTTTATTAAGCTAATAAGATATAAATTTTTGTTTAGACTATTACATTGATTATTTAAAATTAACATATATTTTTAGTTGAATATCCAATATAGACATTTAATATAATATTAATTAATTACATGTTTTCTTAGTAGTGTGATTTAAAGCTTACCAAATTAAACCATTTATAATCGCAAGTTCAAAAATAAAGATAAGTAATTTATCAATTCCTAAATAAAATGGAAACGAAATAAATGCTATATAAATTGAAGGGCAGAATAACCGGAAATTAAAAGGAATGAAGGGTATTAGAGTAAATTCACATTTGAGGAAAAACGATCTGTAGAGTGCCCTGTGGACAATTGGATTCTTTTATTAAGATTAAGATATATATATATATATAGATATATATATATATATATATATATATATGATATATCTTATAGTATATATATATTAGGAACAGTAAATTAATCTTATTGGACCATTTTTTATTTTTTTTTTATTTTTTTCTTCTAATGCTTCTCGGTTCTTCTCGCTTTATCACCCTTTGAATTATCCATCACCCTATTTTTTTTTTATCTCCCCACCGCCTGTTACTTTTGAGGTTTGCCAAGTTTAGTCTCTGAGCTGCTTTGGCCGGTGAATACATTTCACCCTCCACCGCTTCACCGACATTGTAAGCCAATTAGATTAGGATTGGTGTCATTTCTCTAGCTACAGACTGCTTCATCTAATATCTTCTCGATCGTTATAATTTTTTCATCGCACTCTTCTCTCAACCGATCATCACTCACACTACCGCCGATTTTCAATCCGGACTCCAACCACCTCTTTTCTCAGGTCCACCGTCGCCAGAGGGAAGGATCGATTGCGCAGGTTTCGCCGGCGGATTCCTTGTTTCCATTCCCGACTCCCTCTTCTCGCCTCTTTGTTAACCACCGCTTTTGGTGGAATTCTGTCGCCTCACTACCACCAACAATCTTAGGTGCTAAGACTAAAGACTTCATGGTGGGTTTTCGTTCTTGGCGGTTACGGTTCCACCAAAGCTACTTGCAACAAGGTAATTTTCCTTGCTTCTTTTGGTCGCTTTCCGATTTTATTCATTCGAAATCAGATGGCCTACCCTTTTCAGTTTCCCGACATTAATCTACCGTTCATGTCTCTTTGAAGACCTGAAACCCCTAATACTGGCAGGATTGCTCTTGCTAAGAAAAATTAAAGTGTGTGTCTGGATTAATGGATAGTAGGTCACTCAATTTCCTTACAGGTGAGGTGAAATTCATTACAGTTTAACAGAACAAGTCTCTAATTACACATGAAATTTAATTATGCCCTACCCAGTTGATATTGAGTTTTGAAGTTGAGTTTCACAATGTATCCCGACTGCTTGATGAAATGCTTGAACCAGATTGTCCTTTACTATATTTTTTTCCGTGCTTACTACAGGTAAATGATAAAAAAATTGTTTATGTTTGTCCAAATTGATACGCTTTTCATTGTAGATTGAAACTTTTTGTGATATTTTTGACAACCTGCTCAGGGGTTTATGGAAGTTGATGATGACTACATTCAAGATTATTTCAACCAAAAAAAATAGGTATCCATGTTTCAGTTATTAGAAATAAAGAGTTTAATGTTTAGAAACCGAATTCAAAAATCACTATATCGAATACGATTCGAATGTTGGAGAGGTGTCTAGGTGATGAGAAAAAACCGAAACTGAATAACCAAATTGAACCAAATGATATCTGAATTATTTGGTTTGGTTTATATTCGGTTTTTAGTTAATTT